GGGATGGAGAGGGGAGGGGAGGAGGCAGAGAGAGGAGATGGAGAGGTGGAGGGGAGGAGGCAGAGAGAGAGGACGGAGAGGTGGAAGGGATGAGGCAAAGAGAGGAGATGGAGAGGTGGAGGGAAGGAGCGAGAGAGGGGATGGGAAGACAGAGGGGACGGGAAAACAGAGGGTATGAGAAGGCAAAGGGGATGGAGAGATAGGGGAGATGAGAAGACAGACAAAGGGGATGGAGGGGTGGAGGGAGGGGGGTGTAGAGAAGATGGGAAGACAGAGGGGATGTGAAGGCAGAGGGGATGGAGAGATAGAGTGAGGCGGCAGAGAGGATGGAGAGATAGAGGTGAGGAGGCAGAGGGAATGAGAAGGCAGAGAGGAAAAAGAGATAGACGTGAGGAGGCAGAGGGGATGAGAAGACAGAGAGGATGAGTAGGCAGAGAGGATGGAAAGACAGAAGGGATGAGAAGGCCCACTCCCTAGCTACTAGCTGGACAGAGAGGAAGTGAGTACTTTGGAGACGTAGGCTACGCTTTTGGTGAACACGCGCAATGGAAAGACGGAGTCTCTGTATTTGTGCGTATGTGTGTGGGGGTGGGGGTGGGTATGTTTGAGTGTGTGGATGGGGAGGGGGGGTCTGTGAGAGAGTGTGGGTACGTGTGTATGTATGAGTGTGTACGAGTGTACGTGTGCGTGTGAGTGTGTATGCGTGTATGTGTGTGTGTATATGTGTGTGTAATAAAACTAAAAATGATAGATATAATCTGATATATTTTACCAATAGATGGATATCTTTTTGTCAATGCATGTGCCAAGAACCATTTGTTTGTTTGTTTGTTTGAGTAAAGAGAAGCACATCGACACAATAACGGTCATTTAGTGCGGGGAAAAGTAAGACAGACAGACAGACAGAAACAACAGAGGGGAAAGTAAAGAAGTAGGACCTACCAGTGACACCTTCCAACCACCTACACCAACAATGCCATGCCAGCTACAAACACACAAGTCCTCGCCAAAGTCATGGACAGAAACAGTCCGGACAGACCCAGTTTGCCGAGGCCGGCCGAATAATGTGGTACCC